CTTAGCTTGAACATGAAATGAACGTTTTCTTTTTTATGTGTTTCTTCTCTGAGTTGTAGTAGCGTACCCATTCGAAGGTCCAAATCTGCTGTTAACTGTAGAAATATTCTAAGACTGAAGATTGAAGTTGTCTGAGAAACTGACCAAAAATGATGAAAGCAAGTGATTTCAGATATTTATATCATGCATTCGAGACAACATACAACAGGTGAATCTGCGAACAAAAGATTGTTTAAGGAGAGAAAGCCACAAACCATAAAAACAACAGAGATCGTTGAGTTGAAATTATTTTCTACGAAAAACTTCATACTCGATTAAACTGCTGTTTTCTGAAAGTGAGGAATGTGGTGTCCTGTCCCGGAACTGTCTTTAACGTATTAACTATTCAGAATGTTTTGAATGATCTGAAAGGCAACCACGTTGAAAAAGTTGCAATAATGAGAAGAACAAAAAAAATCTAGTCAAGCGGGATGGCTCAGATGGGAATTTGTTTGAAATACAAGAAAAATTGAAGAGACTGGTAACCTTATATAAGAATGAAATTTTCTAAAAAATAAAGCTGAAACAATTGGAAAGTCTGGAATAAAAGAAGTGAAAGCGTTGATCAAAATTTACAAGAACTTGAAATTGCCTGCCACAAAACTAAGTTTGGAATCTGCTTTTTTTTCTCAGATGGTTTACAACCAAAACCTAACCAAATGACATGATACGAAAAACGATTTGTTTTTTGCTCTGATCCATTCGAGGGTCGACCTGCCGTAGAGCAAAAGAGATCTGATGTTTTTAACTGGCTGCGGCCTTACATGGTGACAATTGCTCTGAGGGATTTCTTTAACTCACCTGCCTTCAGTATTGAGACATACCGCTATCGATTCAGTTATAAGCTTTTTATTATTGGTCTCAATTTGAAGCTTTGATATCAGTTTGAAGTTTTGATCTCAATTTGAAGCTGCTGGTTAACCAACGTTTTGACAAGTTTTCATTCAGCGATGACTCCTCCATTTCCGCTGCTGTATGAGTGTCCTCCGTTTTTGCCTGTATCATTACAACAAATCTTTCTCTTCCCCTTTCCGGATCTTCTAACGTGTCTGCTTTTGCAGAAAATTGCAAGTTCAAAACCTTTACATGCTTGCTGGTGAAATTTTGTTATATTTTTGAGCCCAAGACATGGAAATTTGACCGGTTAAAAATTTATTAGCCGGTTGACCGATATTTTGGCCAAACTTTTTTTTTCAAAGGTTACAGGGACATTTCAGCAAATTTTAACAAACTCACATTTCAGATCATAGTCAAGAAAAGCTGGATGCGCAAAAATTTCTCGAAAGTGGACGACAGGAAAGCCACGTGCGACCGCTGCAATGCGAACGTTGCCTTATATGTCATGGAACGAACCTCCACAAGTTGGCAGACCCTGCTGCATAGGCATCCCCTCGCTTATCTGCGCCCACTCCAGCAAGACTTGATGCATCTGGCAGATCGGTCAACAAGACGCTGGAAACTACGACGCTGCCGGGCTATTTTGCATCGAAGAGAGATTGTTCAGCTGAGCGAGCACAAAAAATTATGCAGTTGGTTGTTGACTGCGTTTCAAAAAATTTTCGCTTGTTTTTGTTTGGCGAAGAATGGTGTTAATGAAAGCATCGATTGCTCAAAAAACGTTACTTTGTATTCAAGTGACTTAAGTAGGTAAAATTGAACAACAGCCAAGACGTTTCGATTCCTGCGGCTTCACGTTCTTGCTCGACATTATCTGCAAACTCCGGCTGCTTCTGCGAGTTCTGAATGACTGTTCAGTGACTTCGGAAACACATATTTCGACAAACAAGGAAATTTCTGAATCTATACTATTTCTACAATGGAACACCAAATGAAATAAGGTCGAATAAACATTTTCAAAATTCTCCATTTCCTCCAAAAATTAACAGGTTATTCGATTAATTTGCATCAGTTAACCGGTTTATGATTAAATCAACAATTCAAGGCGATATCCAAGACATTAATTTTTTAAAATGGTTAGAAAACGTTCAACCGAAAAGTAATTATATAAATTTGTCTTGGATTTCGGACCACTTGATAAAAATCATTAGTTACATTTTGGGAAAAAAACACCCGAGAACATATTTTCTATAAATTTTCAATTCTCATTTTGAATTCCTTGAAACTTTAAAAATTCCAAGCAACTACCCAGTTGTATTATTGTAAGAACTAACAGTACACTCTACTGCTTTTTGAAACCAGAGCAAAAATTTCAAATTCCAAGAAAAAGTGTATAGCTTTAAAATCTTTGTATTTCAAAATCCGTTTATGCTGAACACTTTTTTGATAAAATTTAGTCAATTAGAGAGAACTGGATCCATAAGTCAACTTTTTTATCGGCTGAGGAATCAAAAAATTAAAATCTATTTTCGAAATTATCAGTCGATCACGTTTTTTAGCGTCATTGCTGTTTTTGCGCCATCACGTTTTTTGCGCTTTTGTAATTGGAGACAGCATCTTGCCCTAATTTCAGCAGATAAACTTGAATTGATTTCAAAAAGTACATAAATAGCAAAGTGCATCTATAAACACAAAGAAGCATGAATGCACTTATAGCAAGAAAATTCGTCAAAAACACCCAGACTTGGTGATTACAGCAAGACTTAAAGAGAAATTTTCATTACTTTTCAATTATATCAAAAAATGTTCCTTTGGATGCTCAGAGCCAAAACCTTTAGAGAAAAAAGCAATCTTAAGCCTATCCGACCTGTTAGTTATCAAGCAGCTGTAGTTTAACAAAAACTTATTACAAACACATCTTTAATCTTAAACACAAGGCATTCAAATTTTAGACAGCCAACAAACACTTGAAAAATTTCAAAAGAAAAAACAAGAACTTTGCTTTAAAAAATTTGAAACCTGATTTCTTTTTTCGAATTCGAAAGAAGGAAGAAATTCTTTAAAGCTCTTTGAAATTCAAGAATCAATTATGACTTTTTTGATAAAATTATTCGAATTTGAGAAAATTGTATGTAATTTTTTTTTACTGTCAGGGAAATCTGCTGCTTAAATTCCACTTTTGAAGTTGAAAGGCGATTACGTTTTTCGTGACTTATACACTTTTGCTGCTCAATAGTGACCTCCTTTAAACAAAAAAAAGAACTGAATTTAAAAAGTCGAACAGCTAAAACCTATATTGGAGCCAGAAGAATTATTAAAACTTTCTTTTAGAAAAAACCGCACGAACTATATAAGAGTCTGAACTACGTTCATCGACTCTAAACAATTTTCAATTTTAGAAAAACAAAGATATCAGGTAAGGCTCTTATTAGCTCAAATACTGTTTATGATTGGCACTTTTTGGGAAAAGTTATCCAATTTAGAGAAAACTGGATAAAATTTAATTAATTGATTCCGCTGGAAAAATGAAATCCACATATGAAATTAGAAGTCATTCACGATTTTTATTTAACTTTCCACTTTTGCAGTTCAATAGAGCAGTTTGCCTTCATTTAACAAAAGAAATGAACAGAATTAAAAAGATATGCGACACAGAAATACGAAACTGCATTTCGAATCACTTGCGATATAATAAATGACCGTGATTAGAATCAAAAGAAAAGAATAATCAAAAATAAAACATATAAATTGTTTTTGTCATTAAATTTATAAAAATCCCGAAGAAAACCCAAAAAATCGGGAACAAAATTGCCTGCACAATTTGAAACTTTACAAGGAGCGTTTGGAATGCTAGAAAGAAGCTAACATAAAGCTTAAAGAAGCTAACAAATAAGCTGTGGGAAATTAGCAGGCGGAAATAAGCAGACAGACAAAAAATCCAGATTACCCGGAAAAAAATTGGGCTACGGGAACTTAGCCGACATAAACAAACATGAACGATAGCACAAAAAATTACAAAAACAAATATGCAAAAATCAGCTCCGGCTAGATTCGAACCACAAGCCTATGCTGTGTCATGCAGATATGTTACCTCTACGCCAGACGATGTGCCTGATGATTGATTGAACTTGATTTATAATTAGCAGACTTGAAAAGAAAGCCTCAAGTCCAACCTTCAAAAACCACATTTTAAAAATTCAAAATGCTGTCTGGAAACTTGTTCTATCAGCAAAAAACACGTCCAGAAACTCAATCGACGACAATTAATGAAAAACTCAAAAAATAAATAACAAACGGCAACTGAACCGAATATTTCCCTTAAACCGAAAACATGCTTGTTGTCATGAAAAATTTTGAACTATAAAATCTATTCTAAGATTGATCCATTTTGTTTGATCCGGAACAAAGCATAAAATTTTTTCTGCCCTTGAAGCGACCCTAAACTAGGTCCCTGAGCCGATAATATATAAGCCAAAATCATCTAGGTCGAACAAAATTTTTAAGCGAAAAAAACAGCAAATTATACGAAGTCAAGGCTAGTAAAATTACAAATTGCAGTAATTCAAAACACTAAAAATAACTGCGTATAAAAAATCAATTCTTTTACATGGCAACTAATCTGACAAACGATAAGCAGACAAACAAAACTCAGTTTTGGAAAAAAATATTTCCAAATTGAAAAAAAAAGATCCTCGTCAGATTCGAACCCACAAACTTAGCCGTCCCAGGCGTATTCTTCAACTCTGGGCAAAAAGTTGGAGACGCACAAAAATTAATTCATTATGAACCAAGATACAAGTGATTTTGTCAAACAAGTTGTTAACCCAAAAAAGGAGTATAATCCGATTTAATAACGCTTGCTAATCGCAAGCGTAAACAGCGAAAAATCAAACTTCCGGGTGATCACATTTTCCTAAAAAAACTAGCAAAAAATCATCAAAACCTAAATCAGTGAAACTCACTTCGTTCTTTTACAGCAAAGATGGCGCTGAAAAAACTACTGCTTTTCAGAGATTTGTGATTTGACGGAAAAAACCAGAGGTGCCACAATTAGTTCTCTATTTTTTCAAGACTGAAGACAAAACAGAAAGCTTACCTCTACTACAGCTTAGTAATTAAATAAGTTCACAATCTAAATTTATTGGATAGAGTGAAAAAAGTAAACAATTACAACTTTGACTATAAATTTAATTGAAAATATCTCCAGTGATATACTCAAACACACCATATTTGGAAATAACAAAATAGAAGCACCATTTATACCTTTTAAGACACCTAAACGCTCTCAATTCGAGAAAACCAATTTAGTTTGTGGTCTCCAAAACGAAAAAGAGACAAATATCAGTTTTCTTCCGGATATGCAGTTTGCTTATCGATCACCTTATTCGGCTCCCAGTAGCTGAGATATGTCGGATATGGATCAAGACACTGCACCTTTTCCAATCTGTTTCCAGCTAGGGCAGTGGACCAGCCCTGACTGTTGATTCCACATGACCACTTCTCCACTCCGGTTTCAAGCCCGAACCATCTGTCGGGCACTGCGAGTATGAACTGCTGCATCTGGATCATGAAGCGCTCGTAGTAAAGATCCGGAGACACTATCGTCGGCATCATTTCCTTAAGAGGAATAGATAATTATTATTGCCGTACAACCAAAATTGTTCCAAGATATAAGTGACAAACTCCGATCTGAAACTATATTTCACATTATAACTAATCTTTCATGGGCGCCTTATGTTTCATGGGCGCGGTTTTTGGTTTACTTTACTTTAAAAGAGCCAATTCGAACTTCCCGGCTCTGCTGAAATAAGTATGGCATATCTCGAAAAATTTTCCTACGCCAGAAAATTGCGTTTTTGAGAAATATGTCGGCGTAGACACCCAAAAAGCGCGTTTTTCCGGCGCAAGTGACTAAATACATAGATCGAGAACTTCAGATTATTTTCGCTGTTAACAGGGCCCAAAATCTATTATTTTCACAAAACAGTGTTTCCAATTCTAGAAACGTATAAGTTTGATCAAATTGGAGAATTATACGTTTAACATAGAAACTCGGCATCAGATCTTGCCATCAGAGGAACTTACCAGAACAGTTGTTAACCAGAAAAAAGTAACCAATTTTTAAAATAAATACTCTTACTCTTGCATGAGTAATTATCTCTGCAACTTACCCTAGAATCCGCTGGTCTATTAACTGGATTTGAGAACATGATGATAACCGTCTTCGTTACCATCTCGAATTTCTTATCCAGTCCAAACTTGCGCAAATAGTCCACAATTCCCACCACCATCTCACTTCTTGAATCATCTAGACCAATCAGAAGCGAGTAATCTATGCGGCCATTATCTGACAGGAATTTTCCATCTCTCTCAATTGCCTCCATTAAAACATGCTTGCTGTGTGGTCTTGTGATTATGGGGTCCTCCTGTATTACAGAGGTCATGTGTTGGTCCAGAATCATCTTCTTGTTTTCCACAACTGTTTTGTAACTTGGTTCGGAGGCAGTCAGCAATTTATGAACTCCCTAAATCAAAAACATACACAAACTTCAATTATTGCGCATTTAACACCATGGTCGGATCCATTGTAGAAGGCGCTAATGCCTCTTAACACAACTCTTCTACCAAACCAAACGCAATCGTGCTACAATTACCTACAGGATATCAAAATCTTCCCAAAAACTGCATCATCCCTACAGTGCAGAAACAAAATTTTTCCCGAAATCACCTTCCCGTCAAAATTCGAGATTCATCTTAAAAACTTGCCATCAGCAAAGCACATTATTGAACCCTGAGCGTAATTGTTTTGGCTGCAAAGCTGAATGAAAATTAACAATAGTTTCACAAGGAAGCTTTCGAATAAAAAGCAAGCACCACGAGAATTAATTTCTAATGACAAATATATATTTAATATCTAACCTTGAGGTCAAAGTTGCGACTGCAATCTCTGTTATAGAACAAGTCTTCCATCACTATCAGGAACATCTTGTACTGTTCATTCGTGAACATATTTTTAACAGTCACTTGGTACACTCCGAAAATCTTGCACAGTGTAGTTGGGTTCCCTTCGTCCAGACATTTATTCAAATACGCGAAATAGTTCGTCGCGAACTCCGGGTCAATAAAGTCTAGACCTTCTGCAGATTTCAACGACTTCAGAATGAATCTCTTGCACTGCGACTGATAGAAGTGAGCTTTGGACTTTCCTGCACTCATTTTGATCTCAACGGTCTCGCTGAGGCATTTGATAAACCACTTTTCAACATCTTCCCCTTCCTGTAATGCAACAAAATCAACGCCAGGAAACGCTTTCACAAAAAAATTCTGGCAAGTGACAAAAACCGAAAAAAATCGGACAACATAACATGCACCACTGGTTTAAATTCTATTTTAGGAGGTACGAGTGCTGAAAGAAATTGTTCGTAACAACAAATCTACCTTTGGAATGAATGTTCTGTTTCTCAGATTTCTGAACTCGAGAGGGTACCAGCTCTTGCAGTAGAAATCACATCTTCTTTCCTTGTCAGACAAGCTTGAGAAAGTATGCTCAATAAACATCTGCTTCAGTTTCGGCTGGCCAGTAGCTGCCGCTGCTGCATTCGAAACATTTACAGGTCGCATTGAATCTTTGCAAGTGCTCGTTTCAAAATCCTTTGTTTTGGACTTGAACGTATAACGTTGGTTATCTGGCAACATTAAACTTGCTTCGACCATCTTTTGATCTATAAAAACTGTGTTGCTATTGGTATACATGCTCGCTATCTCTGCTTCTTCTTTAGCAAGCTTGCTTCTGTAAAAACTCGAAGCCATTGAATAGGCAATGATGGAACCCGGTTCGTTATCCCTGATTAAAATAGGCATGAACTGGTCGTCTTTATCTACGTCCATAATAAAGTGCTCTTTCTCGTTAAATGGAAAATGAGAAGACAGCTCAGGTACTGGCTTGTTAATGGCCTTGGTCGCCATAAACGGTTCTGGATGATTTCCGTGAGCTTCATCGTTGCCACTTTCGGTATTCTGAAGAAGAAAAACTCCAACAAGAGGAGCAAACACCCCTCTATTAGTCTCGCATTCGAAAATTTGCTCTTTGTTGAAACAACCATTACCACCTACATTTTGCTCTTCGTCAAGCTCAATTCCACCGAACAAGTTTTGAGTGTGGTTCGAGCCCACTTCGGGCCCGGTCAAATGTCCAACCCATTTCAACACTCCTTGTTTTGTTTGTGAATCATAGGTGACAACTACTCGCTTTCCGACATCTTCTTGTCTTGCATGTACATCGCATGTTATATTCCTAACAGAGCCATCCTTTGATGACGCTTCAGTGATCTGCGATGCGTTACTACTAGTTGTGGTTGGACGAGATGACGAACTGGACGCCGTTTCACGGTTATTCTCGTGAGGAATCGACCTACACATAACTTCTTTTGCTTTCGTGAATTTTCCTCGTTTTCGTACATAACCGTCTGGCATACAAAACGACTCTTCAATGTCGACGTGCGATTTCTTAGGACTGCTTGCCTTGGTAGTTACTTTAACAAATTGCATGATACCGTCTTCGACTTTTGATTTTCTTTGGCTAACGATGTTCACTGCAACAGTGGCTCCTTCCGTAGTTGCCTCGACGATTGGACTCTGATGATAAAGCGACTGTTTCGCATCAACTTTCCGCTCAGTTTCCATATCTTTGATCTCGAATTGATTGTCGAATGGATCCTCGCCAAAATGATCAGTTCCCATGTTTTTGTGGGAGCCGGTGGATTCAGTTGAACATTCCAGCTCAAAATTATCGAGAGCTACTGAGCTGTTAGATGTCACTCTTTCGATAGGCGACGTCGAGTTCAAATAGAATTGGGTTGCATAGAGGTTAGACATACCCAGGTTCCTGTTGTCTTTGCCCAAAATAGCTTTGTATTCATTTTCTGCTCGCACAAGTTTTGACAAGTTAGCACTCCATTTAAGGCAAAACTGGTAGAAAACATGCTTCATTAGCAGAATTGTATCGTATCTTATCCAGTCACTATCTGATGTCTGGCAGTTCTGTTCTAGCTCTGCTTTGACCAGGGAACAGTCACTTTTGATGTTCACCTCGAAGCTCTGACAAATTTGCTTGAGATTTTGCGCCGCCTTATATTTGGCGCTTTTGATGCTGCTACTTCCTGACTCGTCTTTGATATTTTTCAAATGTTCACCGCACCTGTTCAATTTATCATCGACTTCTTTCGAAACACCTTCGATTTTACTGAACAGACTTTTCTGCTCATCGTTGAATTTCTTCAACGAGTATTTGAATGAGCCAAAAAGGGAAAACTTTTCCGGGAAAGCCACTTCATAGACATTTATTTTCGACACCCGAAAAGCGGCGACACGCTGTTTGTACATGAAATACTGATGATGATCTCTGAACATAGAGTGGCTACAAACTGAGGTGTGATCTGGACTCGACGCTGGAGATGCACTTGGTGTATATTCTGAATGAACCACTTCCACGTTGAACGCCGACAAACAATTTTCCAGGAACTTCCCGAATGAATAATTCCAGGTGTTTTCAGACATCTTTGAGATTTGCCCCAACTTCTTGCAACTGGGACAAAAATTCCACATCACAATTGTGTCTGGAGGCTTCTGAGATGTCTTTACTTCGTTATGTAGTGATACATGCAAGCAGTAATTCGCACTGAAGAACCTTCTTTTATGCACTTCGGGAGCAAACTCACATTGTGGATTGATGCAAACTTTATCCGAAAAGCAGAATTTTTCCAGGAAACTTCCTAAGGTCATATCTCCTTGAAGGTAAAACGGCAAGTCTCTGTAGATCAAGTAGCAACATCTGCTGGGATCTTTTGATTGACTGTTAGAAGAGATCAAAATAAGGACATTGATTTTCTGGTGGTACCTGTAATCCAGACAATCAGGCTTTTGTCTTCTGGACTGGAAATGAAGTTTCCTTTTGTTCATTTTACAGTCGAATGCTCTTCGTTTTTCCATCATTCGCTTATTATGCCTATCTCTGATGTTTGCGATGTCATCGAAAGCTAAATTATAACCTCTTAATCTGAAATCGGCCAGAAGGTTCAGAAACTCCGGTCCGTCTAAAGGCTTGCTAGTTATGTAACTCAAAAACGGATGAGGAGGCAACTCAACTATGTTAGATGGGTCAAAAATTGCAGTTTCTTCAAACGGCAGCATTTCAAGGTCAAACTCAGGCGCAACATCTTCCAAATTCTCCATTATTCCGTCGGATTTGAACACTGGCGGGAGCGGTGTTTCTCCTGGAAACAATCCACTCCAGTATTTTCTCATATCTTTGTTTTCTTTTGCCACCTGAGCTCTCGGCACCAGATATCTCCGGATTGGTGAGTTGTACCCCAGGTTACTTTCCAGAAATGGGCAGCTAATGAGCACATGAGGAGACATTGAGAGAACAGTGGATCTGAACTGCTGACTGTGTATATAGAATAGACTGTTTTCGTTGGGTTCCAGTGGCGCTTCAACGCATGCAGTGTCCAAAACTGAGATCGCGCTAAACAAACGTAATATTCGGAAACAATTTTTGAGGCTTTATTTTACTGTGACCACTCTCAGGGATGGGCAAAGACTGTTAACTAATGGATTTTTTGACAGCGATTATGGAAACTCAGAGGAGTTCAGACATGACTAGCTGACCTGTTTTTAGAGAAAGAAATCTACTTTCGAATTTGAATGTTTAATAAATATATGGCCTTGAATCTCTTATAATTTTTAATTTATGATTGACACTTTTTGACAAAATTAACTCAATTTGAGAAAATTGGATCGAGGGTAGGTTTTTTCCGCTGGAAATCTGAAAAAAAACCCACTTCGAAAACCAGAAATCGATCACGCTTTTTGTTACTTTTAAAAGTTTGCTGTTTGATAGTGGTAGCGTTTGCCTTCCTTTTAAAAAAGGAAAAAAGTCAACTTAAAAAGAAATCAAAAATGAAACAGCGAAAAATCAAACTGAGTGTGAAAAATCACGTGAGTGTGAACAAATTATAAGACTGTTACTGAAAAAAAAATATCATCACGACCTATAGAAGAGTCACAACTTCCATCAACGCTCAAAAATTGCCACATCTTATTGTACATTCGGAGCCTTACAATCTTAACAACCGACAAACACTAGTCACAAATAAAGCAGCTACAAATGCTAATAAATTGCCAATACAATTCTGTGAAACTCGGCAATAGATTCAATTTTGCAATTATTAATTTCGAATATAACAAACTGAAGGCATCCACACTAACGATGCATGAAACAAATCGCAAAGCATAAAGCCACCTTATGTAGAAATTAAGCATTCCAAAAAACTGCGAGATATGCTTAGTTAGAAAATTTCTGAAATCGAGTTTTTTATTATTGTGATGTTGTTTGAAACAAATAGCTTTTTTCGGTTCATATGATGAACTTAAAATGCATCAATTGGGTTAATTTATTACTATTCGAATGTCAAAGCACACGCTATTAAAAAGCTGTAAAGTTGTCCCACCATTATTGGGGTGCCGCACCAATATTCGCACCTAAGGTTGGGAAAAAAGAAGTTTCGTACTAATACACTAGCTTCGCATGTGTAAAAACAGTTAATAAAAAAAGTTACTGCATCAAAGATACCCTACAGTTATTAAGGCCCATTAAGTAGTACGCTCGGAACTAAAATGAAGAGTATTAATTTACATTTCAAAAAGCATTTCAATCGCGTACAGTTTTTTAGGCAGTAATCGTTTTTTTATCTTCGGCAGAGAACGCAAAAATTTTGTATAGCAGCTCATAAATTAACAAAACAATTATATAATAGTTACAAAATAGGCGCAATTTTCTTCCTAACTCTTGCTTTTTTAAAACATAGTGATTAAGCGGAGCTACGAATAACTTGCGATAAAACGAAGCGTAGCATTACAAGCGTAGCATTCCAAATATTTTTGGAAATAGGCAACAAATTTTTTTTGGGAAAAACGAACATTCGATCTCAGAAAACAGACGAGAAATACAACCACTAGCAATAAACCAGCTTTAAGTAATCTCTGACAATCCACTAGCTCACAACACTGGTTAGATGCCAATTGATCCGAGGACAAAAAACGGAACGGATGTTGACGTCGTAAAAAATCAAAATTTTTTCGGAAATAAGAAAAATTGTATCTCAGAAAAAGAGACAAGAAACACAGCCACTAGCATTAAACAAGCTTTTAGCATTGTCCAAGCGTTCACTAAGCCAAAAACCCGTGGTAACTTGCCAAATATTACGAAAACAAAAAACGTCAAAGGAAATTGTCATAGCGATAACTTTCAACTTTTATACTATACAACCAACCGACCTAATTTAATAAAAATAATACTAGCCATTTTTCATTTTTAAACTGATGCAAAATAAGTTCGCTACACCGACAAAGCAAAAGCCGAAATAACCTAGTCCGAATAAAATTTCTGAGCGAGAGAAAGCCAAAAAGAAACGGAAAATATACCAGTAAGATATAGGAATTAAAAAAAAACTAAAGGATTCAATCGACGACACTTGACTTTAATGAAAATTGGTCAAAGTGCAAAAAATTGAGGTGTTGCAACTAAGCCAACAAACTATGGTCCGACTAACCAAGTTTTTACTGGAAAAATTCAATATGAGACACTGTCAAAAAATAAAGTCCGACTGGGACTCTAACATCTGACCATAAGTTGCAAAAACAACTGCATTACCTCCAGACCAAATGCATTGGAGCATGGTTATTGCCAGGGTTCCATAATAAAGCAACATCAATTTCAGTTAAAAAATATGCAACAACAGTTGTTTACGGGAAGAAAGTCTAGTTCCCGATTAAAAGACAAAAAATCAAGTGGTGACATATACACAAAACGCACTGAGAAAAGGGTTTGATTAAGACATAAATTGAAGTTGTTTGTATGCCCGTAGCCACACATGAGTGAATCATACAAAAACACACAAAAAAAGGAACATAAAACCGCACAGTCAACTTAGAACCGTAAAAGCCACAAAGTGCAAGCTGGGTGAGCAGCAAACAAAATTTACCAACGTTTTGGGATAGTTATTGTTGAAAATTTTCAATGAAAATATGTACGAAACGCATGTTATCCGTTTCACAGTTGTAGTCCTAACCTTTCTTCACAAAAAGCCGAACCATCACATTTTATTTGATGCATAATGATTGTGCCAATTTCAGAGCGCCATGTTTCCTAAAAACTCATTTTATATGACTTTAATTTGATTGAAGCATATGTAAAACAGTTCGCCAGTAAAAATTTCTTAAGATCTGAGAACTGATAGAGAAAATAGAAAGTGGAGTTATACTTATTCTTTACATATAAAATGCAAGAGCCGCTATAATAGCTGTTCAACTTTTCTTGGTTTCTTTCTATGAAAAAGTCACTAGTCCAATTTGACGGTAGATAAATTGACAGATTCTATACGCGATGACCCGTGACAGCATGCCTCATTTTGCCATTAGCAAAACAATCACAAAGGAACGGGGTTCGTGCTGAAACAGTTGAGTTTTGAGCAACCTTGGTGTGTAGAGATAGCTGTTGCGTCATTGTTTGGTTCTACAATAGTCCATCCAAGTTATGTGAAAAATGCTCGCGGAATGTTGTCTTTTCCTTTTATGGTTGTCTGTGGGCTCCAATTCATGGTTGCTCGCAATGATTGGTAGCTGTCACTTGCTGCTGTTGACCCTATCAGATGATTGGTCCTTTGCGGAGTTGTATCGGAAGATACCTGTCCGGCTTGTGACATTGATGTTGTAAGAAACATCAATTGCATTTGTCCTGTCACCTTTGAAACAGGTGTTTCTGAAAATTCTTGATGAGAGTCCTGGGTCCTGGTCCACAGTTGAAGATGGGTTAGCTATAGTTGAATTGGACCAAGTTAACATCAACTCCCTCCCCTACCTAACCCCCCCCCCCCCCCCCACCCCCCAAATCCGTTTAGGGGGGAGGATCTTAACTTGGTTCTGAGTTCGATTTTTCAGCCAATCAGAATAGAGCATTTTACACGCAGCGCTTATCAAAACTAATTTAATGCCAACGCTCGGGTGTTGGATCTTAACTTGGTCTACTTGGAGGGGAGGATGTTAACTTGATCCGTTGAATTAGCTGTTGGAGTGTTGTTTTGACCCATTTGGTTGAATTCTTCAACGATGTCATCAAGTTGATCTTCCATTTCGATGAACCATCTGATCAAACTTTCGGGTGTTTCGTATTGCGGTGGGTGGTGCACGAGATGAATTGTTGCGCCTTCTAAACTTCGTAGCTAATTTTTCATGTTTTTCATTAAGTCCAAAATATTGAAATTAGCATTGACGTCATCTGTGACTCTTTTGATCCTTTTGAGACATCTTTCGAAACGAGGTCTCTTTGGGAGAGAGTGGATTTCTACGGCATGTTGTAGCAGAGGCTATTGTAGTTGTCTTCAGTTGTTGCAAGTCGGGTGTAGATCAGTCGATGATGTATTTTTGTGCTGCTATCTAGACCTTAACTTGAGTGCAAAAGGCAAAAAAACTTGATAGGGCTAAGTATTTTTTATTCAAAAAGGTACAATGAAATAAATTAATCAAAATGAAAGATACATATGCAATAAAAAATAACGTCCCGATACCTATAACAGGCGGAAATAAAATATAATAAATGTTCACGAACCAAATCCTAAATAAGTAAACCGATACCAATTTTTTGGTCGAAATTTTTAAAGTGCCTAAAAACGCGTTTTTTGGCCTGTTTTTCAACATTTTGCCAGCAGTGCAGAAAATCTGGCCAAAGCAGAGTCTTTTTAGTGCTTTTGGAGAGCTCGGAAAATCAAGATGGTCGGCCTAAAAAAAGTCGACAAATTTCAAAATCAACAAAAACAATTTCGAAATATTTCAGCGGTTTTTTAAACTTTTGATTCCAAAAAGGCGCTAAAATACTCAAAGTAAGCTAACATTACTCAGCTAAAACTAATTTTTTTACGTTTTAAATTAAGCTACTGTAAGCTTTGAAGCAATTAAAATAAGACTGCTCGCTCGCTTTATTCGCTCGAAAAATCAGAAAACAATTTAAAAATAAAGAAAAAACCAAAACACACCCGGATACAAAGTTCCCCCCCATTTTCAATGGTCGGAACAAAAACAGATCAATAGGTAATGTGAGGCTAAAAATTCCCATCCATTTTCAATACTAGAAGTAAGTCACAATTTTGTCCTCCTACTAGCAAATGAATTTGAATTTAAGTCGAAGTCAAACTGCAAAAGATCAAATTTGGCCTGAAAAAAAATATTACGGCCCATACAAGTCTCTTTATTATGTGCATTGGCTCTTAATAAAAAATGATTCTCAGAACTCTCATGAAGCTCTATTTAGGGTCGGAATGTGCCAAACAATCCAAATCTTCTTTCTAAAAAATCGCAGGTTGAAAAATTAAACCACTACTGAATAATCTAACTTTTTCTAACTTTAAAATCTGACTAAATGACCATTTCTAACTTTAAAATCTGACTAAATGGCCACACGGCTGCGGAAAAATGATGGAAGCGACAGGAAGCACATGCTACATAAGTTAATCACAGCAATTAGGCTAACAAGATTGAAACTCTGCAGCACCCGATTCAGCGGTTCCATGCCTTAACACCTGCGCCGCAACGGGATTATCTTTTGAACTAGCAGTCGGTTATCGGTTCAACAGAGGCACAAAAAACCTGCTCTGGTGATTGCCTCGCCAAACTTACCCTTTAGTTCCAGTAAATCTCGATTTTAAAACCGGTGATGAAGTTGCGGGACTTGCATTTGCACTCTGCTCACGTATCTTCTGAACTGCTTCTGATCTTTTGTGCAGTAAATTCATGTTATTCGCAGGCACAACTTTGCTCAAATGCTGTGCAGTGAACTCCATGATTTTGGCAGTGAATGGCAAGTGTTTGAAGAATACTCGATGCTGTCCATTTGAGTCCAGGAAGTATGCGCGCTCTGAAAAACGTCAACCATTCAGATTAGAAATGATGTCAAGTTCAGAGTGACCAACTATGTGCCTGATCCATTTCTTATTAAGGTGCAGTCGAGAACAGATTTTGGTATTCAGATACAAGGCTAGAGCACCAACCTTGGTAGAAAAAGTTTTTACAAAGCTCGATTTTTGTCTTTTTCAAAATTTTTCTCGATACTCAAATAAAATGAACTTCAGTCGCTCATTGATTGCGAGATGGGGAGTGGCGAGATTGCTTAATTGATCCGCGCTTAAGGAATTGTGTGATTAAAAAACAAAACTTACCTAAAACCCTGTTGTAGTTGGCCAACGTCATCTCCAGCAAAATATGCTTCACTTTCTTCAACTCGGCTGCATCTTCACTTCCCCTCAGCAAAATAGTGGCAAACTTTTCTTTCACACACTCGTCAAAAACACATATACTCTTGTTCATGCTTCCTATCTTGAAATACTCCACATAAAACTTCTTGTATCGTCCTGGCGTGTATTGTGTGTCAGTCAAACCAAGGTTCTCCACTCTATCTGCAACTTCGCACTCTAACACTCTCGCAAGTCGCTGCAAATTTATCTGCTTTATATTCTTCACAACTGAAATGTTTTCTTCCATTAGCAACTTCTGCACTTTGGAAGCAACTGTGAATTCCATCAGCACCAAATTGATGTATGGCTTTATGGCCAGAATTCGCTTTGTGCATAGTTCGTTGTACATCTTTTTCTGACCCAAGATAGTCTGCAAGCTGACCATTCGGGTAGGATCCCCTTCTGAGTTGCGGTGGTTGTTGCATTCTACACTTCCGCGACATAGCAGAGCATAAGAAGGCTCTTCAATTATTGAATTCATTCCCTTGCAGGTGACGTTTCCAGAGAAAGCAACTCCGTTGATGATTCTCGAGTCCTCGGCCTCACCTCCAGGGACACATTTAACCTTGACATATCTCCTTAAATCACAAACCAATAAAAAATTGTCTATGGGAATACTCTGTCATTGATACTGCTGCTCTATATATTTGGGCCATAGGGTTTGATCGAATGTCCAAGTTTTGTTCCGACCATTGAACATGGGGAGAAACTTTGCATTCTTTGTCTTCGGATATTTATGTGTTTTTTTGTTTTCCTTACAAAATCAGCGGGTAAATTGAGTGATATATCATCTTAAAGCCCTTTCAGTCTTCATTCGAATGACAATAAAATTTTTTCCCAGTGTCGAGAATAACCAGTTTGAAACTTTTTGATTTTTCGAGCGAGAGAAGCGAACAAACAGACTTACAATAGCTTATTCATACTTAAACTAAGCCGTAAATTTTTAGTTTTACTCGAGTAAAGTTATTTATGGAGTTTATTTGGCGCCATTTTGGGAAACAAAATTTCAAAAAAAATGATTTTTTTTCATGTTTCATGTCATTTTTCTGCAAAAACTGTTGTTCAATTTGGCTATTTTACTATCACTGTTGGATATGCCCAAGTTCTAGTTTGTTGTTCACATCCATTTAAATAACACCACGCAGAAAAAAGACAAAATTGTTTTAAAAAAATGTTTTTTTTAAGACTTTGGTCGGAACATTGTGTTATTTGCACATTAAAAGGCTATCATTGTTTTCTTTTTTATCGCAGGCACTACACATAATAATCGGAATGCGTCGAGTAATTTATTATATTGAAGTGTATAGACAAACAGATTTCAAAAGTTTGAGTTTGTGTAACTTCGAGCATTAGAATAACTTTAATTATATGAAAACTATTCAGTGAGGTTAAGAAAATGAAAATTGGATATAAACAAAACTCAAACTAGTTTTCGAAGCTTCATTTAGCGCTTCTTTGGCAAAAGTTAACAACAAAAACTTTTTTTTCTTCAGTTTTTTAAATTCATTTTGTGACGACAACTGTTTTCGATTACGCTTAATTCAATACTTTCAAAGCGTTTGTTAAAGCTAAGTTCACTGACTTACGTTCTCAATTTTTTGACCAAAAGTATGTGCATAAAGTCAGAAATATTTGAGATAAAATGATCCGCAACTTAATCTGGTTGACTCATAAAGGTTATAATTATGGTTGAAAACTTTTTAAACTTAAACTTAGACTCTGAACAAATATTGTTTTCACAAATATGTCCAGATATTCAAAAGTTTTAGAGAAAAAATAAAAATGTAGCTTGCTTTGGATGATCTGATCATAATGGTCGAAGCATTTAAAAAAACTGAGACTCTGAAGAACTTTTACCTTCATAATTAAGACCAAAAAGTCGATAGTTTTCAAGCTAACATTCGGATATAGCTTGTTCTGGATGCCTCACAAAGCCGTTGATAAGGATACAACGTTTTTTTGTTATCTGTTTGATTCTAGACAACTTTGGTCTTCATAGGTTTGTCCCAGAAGCCAATAATATCCGAGATAACATGATGATGTAGCTTGTTTGGGATGACTCAAACATCTTATGATTAATTTAAACAATTTTTAATGCTATTTAAAGATTATAACAATTTTGTCTTCATAAGTGAGTCATAAAAATCAAAAATTTCCGAGATAACATGATGATGTAGCCTGTTTTGAAACAATCATACACCTTATAAAAAAAGTTTAAAATTTTTCAATGACATTATTGAGTCTAAACAACTTATTTATATATATATCTTATATATATTTATATATAACTTTATATATATATATATATATATCTCAAAGTCAAAAACTCCCGAGGTAACTTGACAATTTAGCTTGTTCTTGATATTTCAAACACCCTTTGATGAGGTTGAAAAGCTTTCTTTTGATTCTAGACAAATTTTTGTTTGATTCTAGACAACAATGTACCTTGTTCTGGATGAATCATACATCTTATGATAAAAATTATCACTTTTTTGAAGTCTTCAAATCTTTTGTCTTCATCGGTATGTCTAAAAAACTAAAATTTCCGAGAAAACAAGGATGTAGCTTCTTATGGATGATTCATTTATCACATGATGAAGATTTAAACTTTTCCTAAAAATGTTTTTTGATTCTACGCAACTTTTCTCCTCATTATTCTATACCAAAAATCAATAGTTTCCGAATTAACACAAAAATGTAGCTATTTTTAAATGAGTCATACATCCTTTAAAGATATGATTTAGTTCAAGCTTTTTTTATTCTAAACAACGTTTTTCTTCATAATTATGTACGAAAAGTCAAAAAATACCGAGATTACACGATGATGTAGCTTGATCTGGATGGCTCATACATCCTATGATAAAAATTGAGATTTTTTATTAAGTAATTTTTGATTCTAAAAAGTTTTCGTCTTCATAAGCACGTCCCAAAAGCCAATAAATTCCGAGAAAACGCGAATATCTAGCTAAATCGAGATGACTCATACATTCTATGATGAAGATCGACATTTTTTTGTTAAATTTTGAGTCTTGGCAACTTCTAGCGTCATAGGTATGAAACAAAAGTCCATAGTTTCCGAGATAACATGATGATATAGCTTTTTCTAGATCCCGCACACATCCCATGATGACGATTAATAATTTTTGAAAGTTAATTTTTGATTCTAAACAATTTTTGTCTTCATAAACATGTCCCAAAGGTCAATAATTTCCAAGATAACTTTAAAATGCAGCTTGTTCTGGATAAACCATACATTCTATGATGAAAAGTAACAAGTTTTTCAAGTTTTTTTTATTCTGAACAATTTGTCTTCATAGACATGTCCCAAAAGTCAATAAGTCGATAACATGATGATGTAGCTTAGGAATTTGAAAGTTATTTTTGATTGTAAACAACTTTCGTTCTCGCACGTATGTTACAAAAACAATTCATTTCCGAGATAACATGATAGTTTAGTTTTTTCTGGATGACTTATACATCTCATTAGAAAAATAAACATTTTTTTTGAAGTTATCTTTTGTATCTAAACAAGTTCTGTCATCATAATTAGGTCCAGTAACAAAACGGTTTTTGAGATAACCTGATGATGTAGTAGCCTGGTCTACATGACTTCTATGTCTTATGATGGAGATTAACATTTTTTTAGAAAGTTATTTTTTAATTCTAATTCAAATGTCTTCCTAATTATGTCCGAAAAATCATAAGTTTTTGGATATAACATGATGCTATCGCTTGTCAAAGAAAAAAAATCAGATATTTCATAAATAGTGTATCACTAAACTATAAATTTTCTTGGTAACACTCTTGGTTATGGGCAAAACTTAGTAATTCGACAGAATTAGATTGAAGATATTGACAGTTTTAAAATTCGAGGCCGTAATAATAACAACGGAGAGGTGTAGCTTTTTAGTGTTCTTTAAAAGTGAGAGTTAATCTGTGAGATCGGTTTAACTTTAATGCTGTCCTAGTTTAACAGGCTGAATAATTTTTTTCATTATATTGTTCTCAATCTTCAGTATAACTATCTATCTGCAAAATATTGTCCTCACTATTCATACTTTTGAAACCGTTGCTCAAAGATAAATTTGTGCTCAACATAATAAACAAATAAAATCAGCCTCCACTCCCAGACTGAATATTTAAGGTATTAAAATCTGGACAAAATTCACCGATTCAATCTTTTCATAGACTCAAGCTAGTTTATTTCGAAATTTTCTTGAAAAAGACTACTAGCTCAACGATTGTTTTCGGTCTTATCAACCGAGAAAAAAAATCGCCTATGGCGGCGGTTTTAGTGCAGTGTTAAGAAGGCAATTTTTATCGGCTGCCGACGTATCTTGAGAATGTGCTTAGCTTCCCGTTTGAAAAAAAAAACAAGTTCTGTCAGATACGAATCTAAGACCTTACCCGTCTCAGGCGTATTTGTTACCTCCAGACCAAGTGTGCATGAGACGTGAGAAAAATGAATTTATTATGAACTGAACCAAAATTCACCACTTCTAATTTGATTATTCCGTGAACAAAGTTATTTACGGGAAAAAGTCTAGTACCCGATTGCAATGCCCTTGCTTATCGCAAGGGTAGGGATAAAAGAATTCTTATGTTTACTGGGGAAAAAAGCAATATGAAGCTTACTTCGAGGCCACGAAAAATTGAAACTATACCTTATATCGAGAGCATCATTGTTTCGGAAATTAGGCTTCACTGTCTCTCCCAAAGTTTTCGACAGTCTGAACAACAATGGTGCCCATCTGAAGTCTACGTCGTAATAGCATAACAGTTGATGCAAAAAGGCAATCATGTGCATCAGATACGAGTTTTTCGAGATCTCTTGGACCGCTTGACGGTCGTTCAGAACAGACTCATCTTCTTTGATTTTGATAACAGGTACGAGCGCCGAACCCAGTGATGGAGTTGACAAGCTAGGCATCAGCATAGGAGTGTTTGCTGCCGACGGTATCTCATTGACAGACATTTCCAACGCCTCGAGACTAAGAGGTAGCACTGGGAAGTAGTCTACGCTTCCATCTCTTGAGAATGCCAGATGATCTCTCTTCAGTTTCATACTCATATCGGCAGACCAATAGTCGTAGCTGTCAGAAAAGCCAGTATTCGGAGGCTGAGGGTATAAAGACTGCTCCATGGACGTTGACGGGAAATGGGCAACTCCTGGTCGGAGGCCTGAGTCCCGATTGGAATACCCAAGTGCCTCATCATCCGACTCAGATTCGTCTTCGGAAGAACTACCCTGTACATGCTGCACCCAGGGAGGTTCACTTTCTAAATCACCACTTTCATCCGAGGCAGTTTTTTGGGCTCTTGATACACTTCCAGACCCCAAAATGTCCCGCTGAGAGTTGGTGAAAGACATAACAAAGGCGTTTTCACCAGCACTTCGGTAGAAAATATTTGCATCATTTTTGAACTCGTTGTTTCTACTATTTAAAGGAGTCAAGAAGCTGGCGTCAATCAGAGCTTTTCCAAGCCAAAGCGCCTGAAATAATTGAAGCAATGTTGCAAAAAAAAACGTTCCAAAATGGATAAAACTTTTCTCAGATCAAACCTGCAAGTCCGCTTCGGGTCCTCGAACTTTGTCATTTTCTCGCAGCCAATCAACAATCGCTTTCCCGGACATGCAATCCGTGTAAGTTCTAAGTCGATATCTCACTTTGATGAACGGCAGACCCTGTCTACTTTCCATGATCTCTTGCCATATTTTCTCTAAATCCACCAGACAATCTCGAAGCAACTTACTTCTATGTTTTTCGTCCATCGTACTTGCGCTGTCCTCGGCGCTGCGACTAAACATAGGCGCCAATTTCTTTACCCAGCTCGGGAACTCGGGCAACCCAGTTGAGGTTTTACGACCAACTGAACTTCCAGCTAAATTAGCTGACTCGATACTTGCTACCGTGCTTGGGCTACAAAAGTTCTCAGCTGTTTCCCGACAATAGTTACACGTTCTCTCAGTTCGGTTTTTGTTCAGATCCATTCCAATCATGATTGCCAGGTAGTTACTGCAGCACCTGTTACAAAAAATGTTTCCACAAATTCTACAATGGTGCTTCCTTCTGATCTTCGTGAAGGGTCGCAAACAGCTGTAACATTCAGTACAAGTTGAATCCGGCATCCAGAATCTTTGCATGTGCTCTTTAGCTTTGTTTCTCCTCAATAGATTGATGCGATCCTCAATTTGTTTTCGGTTATCTTCAGAATGCGCAACTGCTCCTTTCGTTCTTGCATTGCCTGTTGAATTCGTAGATGACACGGATGTTTTTCCCCGTGCTCTAAGATCGCTTTCTGATAACTGTTCCTCGTTTATGTCCAATGTTTGTCGGTTATCAGGCGACGCATCCCGTATCGCTTCGGATCTCATGCGCAATCCAGATGAATTTACAGAGGGACTATTTCTGCTCACATCACCACTGTTACCATAGTGCCCGCCATCTTCTTTCCAACTGAAAGCTTCGTTGAACTTTTTCTTCATCTCTGTAACATAAAAGTTACCACTCAAGCCAAAAATGTGCAGAGATCTCATAAAATTAAGAAAAAAAACTAATAGTTGTTGTCCTCTAGTTACAGTTTAAGCAACTGATTTTTTTCTACTTCTGCATATTTAATCATTAAGTAAATTTAGAGCTTACCGCCGAAAAACGTTGAATTCGTGTTTTCAGTAATATCGTCTCTGTATTCAGGAAAGGAGAAGTACACGTCATACTTGACAGAGTTTTTCAGATCGTCTGGGTCTACAGGCGGCGGATCTGAGTGACTTCTACCTCTGTCACTTCCAGGAGACAATGCTGTCGGTAGAGGTGTGGTTGAACTCCGTCTTCGTTCTAAATCGGGGGCCGTGGCAGGCCTAGATGATGGCGATGCACTTCGAGAAGATTGATCAGTGGGTGGTGTATTAGGCAAGGGCAGTGACGATTCATGGACCACAATTTCAGGCAGTTCTTCCGGGACGATTGGGTGATCATCAGGCGTGCCAAACTGTTCGTCCAGAACTTCTTCTCCGAGACAGGAGTCAACACTCGGACTATGTGATTGTAGCTGAATGACAGGAGGTTCCTCGGAATGGAAGGACTCTCCGTCGGAGTCCATAATCTGTCTGTTACTGTGGCTTGTGCTCCAAATTGTTTCGGCTCAAATAACACTTCAGAAAACAATCTATTCAATACAGTAAGCTGCACGGTCACAAGAGTAATACTCGTAGTGATACTGCAAATAGACCACAGGAAACTGGTTAAACTAAATATCGGACTTGCCTCTAATGCTCTGATTTGAAACGTTGTGTTTGAGCAATTACAAAATATCGCGCAAACAAGATGGTTGAAAACAAGCCAAACCTCATCGAATTGAATTACCATGACGAGTTAAGAAGTTTTGATACACAGTCTTGCAGCATAATAAACAGTAAACTCTTTGATCTAATGCATAGACATGCAAAGCTTAAGGTTTGAACACAAACAATTATCTAAAACATTTAAAAAATTATAGGCAAACAGAAGTAAGAAAATAAAACCCGATCGATCTTTCAAGTGCAACAGAGTATTTTAGACCACTGATTAGCCATCTTGCTTAATAATAACTTCCAAACACAGTGACTAAGAGAATCGTTTTACTATTTGCTAGACAAGGCAAACAAAGCATGTCAACACAACCGACAGAAAATGAATAAAAGCCGCTAAGTTTAAAATGTCCGAACAAGATCTACCAAAACCTTCAAACGTTTGTTTCAAATTGCAATGAATAATCTTCATTTTGATAAGAACCTGCAAAGTAAATAAATGAAATTTAAACACCTAGGCGAAGCCGAGCTTCGAACCACCTGCGACGCAGAAAATTGATAGTTTAGAAAATTGGGAAATTGTGTTTCACGACTTTCAATCTACAGCCAACAAAAAGTTTTTAAAACAAGTAGAAATTTCAGCCCAACTCCACCTGAAAAATTACAATTGGCTGCACTGCATTGATTTCCATCAAGGCAAGCGATAAAACCGTTTGTAAATTGCACAATGAAGAAAAATATTAATATATACCAAACAATTTCAAAGAGCAAAAAGTAGCCCAAAAAGACAATTCACTTGAAAAATGAGCAATAAAAGAAGCCCAAAATTTACTGACTTTTACAATTTGCAGATATACTGGCAAATCGCAACAAAAAAGGTAATATTTTTCAAAAAAAAATACAAAACCGAAATCTAGGAACTGCACCTTTAGAAGTTTTACAAGAGATTAACCAAAACATTGCACTACTTAAATTGCATGATATAATCCATACATAGCATGACAAACTAACCAGCAAAGATAAATGAAAGCCTTAAAATATTTTAAAAAAAATTATCAACCGAAAAATTTTCTACATTTGTATTGAATTTAATTCAATTCTATGTTGCCTAATTGTTGTAGCCTAATTGTTGTGATAAACTTATTAAATAGGAGAAATGCGTAGAAGCAGGAGGGGCAACCGTGGTAGCCCCCAGACTGACGATGCGGATACGTCCTGCTCACACAGACCGTGCCAAGCAAGCGGTGATCAATCTCGAGACTGGGTACAGTGTGACGAATGCAACTCCTGGTCTCACTCGATCTGTGCTGGGCTACCAATAGAGAATGCCAGCTTATACAACTACAGCTGCCCAAACTGCCGACGCAAAGACACCAAACGCATAAACTGTCCTGGATGTAGCATGTCTATTGTGGTTCAGAAGAATGGTTCTCTACGCGTCCATGGACCAGTGGGAAGTCGGTGCCCGTATTCCAACAAATCCCCATCTGAAGAACGTGAACACAGTGCAACTGCTACAGACCCCCACTCTTTCACTTCTCAGGATTTCATCAAAGCGGTGAGAGCTTTCCAGTGCAAAACTGTCAAGTATGTGCCAAAAGCTGCAAGGTTTCTTTTTGCACAAACTCTTAACAAGGTTTTGCGAGATATCCTCAACGACCCTGACAATAAAATGGCGTGGGTTCAACTTTTCACGGCTGCGTACAGATGCCTGAAAGCTCCCGCACGCGCCGGGTGTGCTAAGAAGACCAGTTTAACAACATTGATAAAGCGACAAATCGATGCTTTTAGCGTAGCAGATACCCTCATTATTCCTGAGCCGGCCCACCGTAGTCCTTCTGCAGGGAAAAACACAGATGCAGAAAAACTTGCAAGGCTTGTTTGTGAAAAGATTAATGAGGGGAACATCAAAGCTGCCGTTAGAATAGCTTCCTCGGATAAGTCTGTTGTCCCCCCAAGTGACAAAAGTGTCAAAATCCTGGAGAAAAAGCATCCTCCTCCTGCACTGGACAGACAGTCATTCCCACAGTGCCACCAGTATGAACCCTTGCAAGTGACTAGTTCTGCAGTTCACAGCGCTATCCAGAGTTTCCCCAATGGCTCAGCAGGTGGACCCAGTGGTGTCCGACCGCAACATATCAAAGACGCCCTTTCTTCACATTCCATCGACGCAGGCAACACGTTCCTGGACACTCTTACGGATTTTGTCAATTTGATGCTTGCTGGCAAAGCCCCAGATTTCATTAGACCAGTTTTTGCGGCAGCCAACTTGACGACGCTTGCCAAAAAAAAGGAAAAGTAGATGACCTGAGGCCCATTGCTGTGGGAGAAGTCTGGCGCAGGATTGCAGGTAAATGTGCTGGTCAGTACGAAACAGCGAGGTTCAAGGAGTTTTTCAGTCCCTTTCAACTTGGTGCTGGTGCGAAAAATGGTGCCGAAGTTGCGGTCCATGCTGCTCGCTCCTTCTTCGAGTTAGCTTCAGACGATGACGTTTTCCTCAAGTTGGATTTCAGCAATGCTTTCAACACCATGCGTCGTGACAGTATTGCTTTTGCTTTCGAAGAGTTTTGCCCTGGGCTTTTGCCTTTTTTCAACATGTGCTACGAGCGGGAGAGTTTCCTTGTTTATGGTGACCACACTTTGCTATCGAGAGAAGGTTTCCAACAGGGGGACCCAATTGCGTCTTTTGGTTTCTGTCTCGGAGTGCATCGCTGTCTCACTGCAATCTCATCCAAGTTCAAGGTCGGTTACATGGACGACATCAGTGCTGGAGACAAGTGGCAGATAGTTTTGCGTGACCTCGCCAAGTTCATTGACAGTGCCAAAGGTCTCGGGTTAAACCTCAATAACACCAAATGTGAAATCACTGTCTTCACTCAAGACCAGCAAAAGAGCGATATGATTTTACGTGAATTCAGACGTGTCTGTCCTGGTATCAGCAGCGTGAGCACCGAAGACGCTGAACTGCTAGGAAGCCCTCTGGGCCATACAGCTTTACAGCATGCATTGGAAGAGAAGAGAGAGAAAATCGAAAACCTCTGCAAGAATCTTCCGTTACTGCCTTCACACGTCGCGTTTTTCCTGCTCCGACATTGTTTTGCCATGCCTAAGCTCATGTATTTGTTCCGCACTGCTCCTACTTTTGTTTTTATGAACTCTGTTGAAAAAATCACCTCTTATATCCGTGTAGCTGTTCAAACTGTCAGTAACATTCTGATTACCAACAGAGAATGGGATCAGCTCACATTGCCTATCAAACTCGGTGGTCTAGGCTTACAGTCACCTTCGGACCTTACTTTGGCTGCCTATATTTTGTCTACACTCGCCACCAGTGAAGACGTCTTCAAAGTCATTGCGTCTCAATACACCAGCAAGTCCTTCAAGAATGCCATTGAACTGTGGTCTGAAACTGTTTCTCCTGATATGCCACTGGAAGACAAGCAAAAGTGGCAGAAAAGCTGGTACACTCCGATTGTTTCTCGTAGGCGGTCGTCTCTCCTAGCTAACACCACCTGTGACAGTGACAAAGTTCGTTTACAAGGATGCTCTGTTCCCGGTTCCGGAGACTGGCTTGCTGCTATTCCGTCTGATACGCTCGGTCTCCAGCTGACTGATGACGCTTTCAGAATTGTTACGGAACTTCGCCTTGGTGCCCCCCTTCTTTTTTCATGCAACTGTGCATGTGGCACTAAATGCGACAGCCAAGGCATTCATCCACTTATATGCCCGAAAATCAAAAGTCGTTTCATCAGGCATCAACTTGGTAATGAAGTCATCAGAGACGCGTTGAAATCAGCAGGAGTACACAGCAAACTCGAGCCGACCGGTATGCTGCGTGACGATGGTAAAAGACCAGACGGTGCTACTTTAGTTCCATGGAAAAATGGCGCAGTTCTAGTCTGGGACTTTACCTGTGTAAACCGACAAGCACAGTCAAATCTATCAACAGGCCTCGAAGATGGTCCCACTGTTGCTAACCATGCTGAATTTCGTAAGCGCCAACACTATTCTGGTCTGCCACGCAACTGCATGTTCGAGCCCATCGCCGTGGAACATCTTGGTGGCATCGGAAGCTCGACATACAAAACTCTATCCTCTATTTCCTATAGAATCAAGACGACCACTGGTAAGAAAAGGTCATTCACGTTCCTCAAACAAAGACTCGGCATTGCACTGCAACGCGGTAATGCTGCCTGCTTACTGGAAGCTTTAGAAGTTAACTCAACGGGCTATAAGCCAACTGCTTTTTAACCTTTTGCTGTATTTACAACTATTGAATTTACAAGTACACCTCGTAAAAGAAAAAAAAAAAAAAAAAAAAAAAAATTCAATTCTATTCTTAAAAACTTGAGCAGAAACAGTGAACCGAAAAAAAAAACGTTTTAGAAAACTGAAAAACTTTTCAAGCCCCCCTCAAAATACTTCATTAAACTGTTTTGCTACTCAAACTACTTAAGGTGCCTCTACTTTGGAATAGTATATCCGAAAACCTTCGAATAGCACGGGAATTTTAAATGCAGACATGCTAAAACATTGTCTGTTCTCGATCTGTCTATTTGTTGACTAGGGTAGATGACAACAATTTCAGTCATCCTATGAAAACACTTATTTAGAGTAAAATGTCCTTGCTTATCGCAGGTAGCGCAAAATAACTAAAGATGACATTTCAAAACATAAAAAACATGCAAAAGTTTGGAACAGCATTAATACTATTGCAATAAGCAGGGGTATTGCAGTCGGGTACTAAGATTTCATCTGTAAATACCTTGATTCATAAGATCTCCAAATTTAGGATCTCCACTTCTAGCTGAGTGTTTCGGTTAACAGCCGCTCTAGAGCTACTTAATAGATACTTGGTCTACGGTTGAAAAAAAATTCAGATTCATTTTTTGTCGGCTTTATTGATTTCGCCTTTTTTCAGCTTTCTAGCCTGGTGGTTTAATTCTTTATTTTTCAAATTAAAAAGAGTTCATGGTTTTCTGCTTTTTTTACGAGCCAAAACTTACTGTAACAGAAAAAAACTCTAATAAACAAATTTACTTTCGGATGCACGTTTTTTAGATCTAAAAATGCGTAGAATTAGTTTAAATTTCTAAGTGTTTGGCGTGTTGCACGAGATTCAGGAGGGTGCTTCTTTCTAGCTAAAGTTTTTGAAAAAAGGACTTTTTGTGTTTGTTTCCTGAACGGGTCTTTTTTATTGTTGTCTTTTTTTTGTTGCGGTCTCGCACTCCTAACGTTGCATACCAATTTTTGATATTCCAAAAGTTTGATGTAATTGGATTAATTTTACAAGCCTTCAGAGTTTTTTTCAGAACCTCTGCGAGTTCTTTTTTTGTGGAAACTGTTTGAAACTCTGAATTCATTTTTTAAATTCTTTTCTTTCATTTTGATTTGAGTCTAAAGCATATTTCGCCAATAGCTGTGTACGATATGCAGGTCATTTGGTTGCAAAAATTAAGCAACGTGTTTGAGTCATCAAAAACTCTTGGATCTCAACTTTTTTAAACATTTTTTTCTGATTGTTTCCATTTATTGGCTATGAGAAAGAACTGAATGGAGTTTGGTTAGCCCCAATAGTTTGTATGTATTTTTTAGTTTATAATACTTACATTAGAGTTTATAACAAAAAAAGTTTGAAAGAGCTTCTGCGAAAGCGATCAATGTGTAACTTTCAAGGTACTGAATAAAAAAAGGAAAGTATCTTTTTTCATGGGTTGCCACAATATACTCGAACAAATATTATTGCACTGTACTTAATATAAGCTATTACAATTACACATATTATATGAAAAACACAAGCAAGACTTACAAAAAACAAGAAAAGTCCCTTCAAAAAACTCTCCTAACATCAGGGGATATCCACCCAAATCCAGGACCCCTCATGTAATTCAGTCAAATAAAGAAAAAACTGGAAAAGTACTACAACTTAATGTAGAAGTTTAGCTAGGAAGCGTTCAGATCTCAAACAACTTATTAGAACTTTTAATGATAATGCAATTTTCGGATTTTCCGAGACATGGTTCAATGATACAAATGACGATAATCTTTGGACCATAGACAATGACAAATATAAGTTGTTCAGATGTGATAGAACTTATGAATCAAGTAAAATATTGAAGGGTGGAGGTGTCATGTTACTAGTTCCTAAAAA